GGGCGTGTGTGGGGTGACAGCCACAGGGCTCACAGCCCCTTGGCCCCCCCAGGCCCCAGAAGTGGGGTGCGCAGCGATCACAGCTCTTGCCCACGACGTTGGGCCGGCAGGCACAGGCTCCTGTGCCACGGTCACAGTCACAGGTGCCATCGGTGCAGTGGGAGGCCAGTGTGCCCCGTGGGTCACAGCCACAGCCTGCACGAGGGTGGGTGGCCATGTGGGGCTCAGCCCATACCCACTGCCCAGGCAGTGTGGTGCTGAACCCAGCACCCCAAATCTGCCTGACCCCAGTGCCCCCCAGTCTGCCTGGCCTCAAACCCTGCACAGCCCCATGCCCCTTCTAACAGCCCCAAACCTCTCCTGGCCCTGAACCCTAGCCCTGCAACACCCCAAAATTCTCCCTGACCCAACCCAAATCACCCACACCCCACCACAACCCCACACCTCATCCCTGCCTTGAGCCTGTGCATCACTTAAACCTCCCCATCCCAAACCCCGGTGCAGCCCCAGTCCCACAGCCCCCNGGAGGGGGCTGTGCTGATGCCGTGAGCGTCCCTTCCGCCCCGCCGGCTCCCTGGTGTCGTACTCCAGGCAGTCCTGGGGCACCTCCACCCGAATGGCGCCCTGCAGGGATGGGGTCAGGGGACAGTGGCCATGCACAGGACAGCCGTGCACGAGGACAGCCATGCACAGGGCATGGTATAACAGCCACATGCAGGACAGCGTGACAGCCATGCATAGAGCACAGCGGCAGCTATGCATGGAGCATGGTGCACAGTGACAGCCATGCACAAGCACAGTGACCCCCAAGGACACTCACCGGGAGCTGAGGGTGGCTGTGGCCATGGCCGGTGGCTTGCTCGGCCTCATAGGTGTAGTAGTCGAGGGGGGCACAGAAGAAGCCGGGTTGTACCTGGTCACACTGCCGCCCCATGATGTGGGGACGGCAGGGACATGCCCCATCCTCCATGGAGCACCTGGGGGTGACCATCCTGTCCTTTCATCTGTCCTTCTGTCTGTGTCTTCATCCCTCCCTACGTCCATCTCTGTCCCCATCCCTCCCTACGTCCATATCTGTCCCCATCTCTCCCTCCCCCTTGTGTGACTCCCAGCCCTGTCCCCACTCTTGTCCCCACCCCTGCCCCACAGGTGCTGTGCTGGGCCCCACCGGTTGTTGTAGGATCCCCCGAAGTCGCAGGCGCAGGGCCGGCAGCCCCCCAGGTCGTAGCTCAGACCCCAGAACTCGGGCTGCAGTGAGGAGGGGACATATAGGGCAGATGTGGGGCCAACCCAGCTGTGGGTGTTGCCATGGGGTTGGGGACAGGTTGGGGCACTCACCACGCATTGGCTGCAGGAGCGCCCAGCCACGAAGCGTTTGCAGTAGCAGTCCCCACTGATGGGGTCACACGGGGAGCTGCCTGCCACCGTACCCCGTGGGTCACACCTGCATGCTGCCCCCACACATGCACAGGTGAGGGGGTGCCAGTGGGATTACAGCCCACATGATTCATGGCCCTCCTTCCCTGTCCCATATCCATCCGTCTTCATCCCTTCCATCCCCATCCTTCCATCCATTCTCATACAACTATGCCATATCCCTCCATCCTACATCCTTCCATCTCCGTCCCTCTGTCCCAGATCCTTCCATCCTCATCCCTCCATCACCATACCTCTACCTCCATCCCTCCACCCTCATCCCTCCCACCCTCATTCCTCCATCAACATCTCTTCATTCCCCATCTCTCCAATTTCATCCCTTCCTCCCTACCCCTCCATCATCCCCCCATCCCCTCTCCCACGCGATCCCTGGCTCCCAGCTCACGCTGACAGCCCTGTGGGTCGTCGTGGCTGAGGCCATAGGCGCCGTGCCGGCAGCGGTCACAGCGGGGCCCGGCCACATTCTCCTTGCAGCGGCACTGCCCCGCAATCATGCCCAGTGCCACGTCCGTGTGCCCATCGCAGGCACCTCCGTCCAGGGACCCTGCTGGGTCACAGTCACACGCTGCCAAGAGAGAGGATCATCAGTAGTTCTGGCTGCTGGCACCAGGAGCTGTGAGGCTGAGGCAGGTGGCACCAGGAGCCATAGGGCTGGGACAAGCCGTGGGGCTGGGTCCCAGGACACTCACGGGCACAGGCAGTGGGGGACCGGATGTCGGAGCGAGGGTGCCGGTAGTAGAAGGGCTTGCAGAGGTGGCAGCGACGGCCCATGGTGTTGTGCTGGCAGTCATCACACACACTCCCACTGGTGTTCCCCGTGGCCAGGAACACGGCCATGTCAAAGTGGCACCGCCGTGAGTGCTCGTTGCAGTCACAGCCTGCAGGGACAGCACCATGGCATGGCATGGGGCACCACAGCCCACAGCTGGCAGGAAGCACTCCAAGTGCCAAACCTCCCCTGCCTGGGCTCTCCTTGCTGACATGCAGCAACACAATCCCAAACCTCCCCAAATTACAGTCCTGGCACCCTAGACACCCTCAGCCAGTCTGCATGATGCCAGTCACCACCAAACCACACCCCATTGTACAACACCCCAAAACCCCTGCACAGCACAGCCTGGCAGCTCTGGCACTGGGATCACTGTGCCAGGAGCCGGTGCCAGCAGGGCACTCACGGCGACAGGCGTTGGTGCTGGAGCCCTCGGCCGGGCGCCAGGGCAGGTCTTGGTAGAAATCGTCGCAGCGCTCGCAGTTCAGCCCCTGCGTGTGGTGTTTGCAGACACAGCGCCCGTGCACCTGCCAGGATGCCACGGTGAGGGGCTGTGGTCCTAGATGGCACAGCTACCCAGCTGCAGCAGGGCACACAGGCCTGGCCTGCCCTACCATGCCATCGGTGGTGGCAGGGGCCCCGCTGAGCGGGGCGCACTCAGAGGCGTGCCCGTAGCAGAAGCAGTTCCCGCGCATCACCAGCTCGTAGAGCGCGTAGTAGTACTTCTCCCGGATCTCCCGCCGAGAGTCCAGCAGGTTGTCCCCCAGGGTGTGCAGCTTGGTGAGGTTCACCCGCAGGTTGGTGACACGCAGCAGGTCTAGGGCAGGGAGAGACCCCTGTTGGCACAGGGTGGCTGGGCACGTCTATGCACAGCTCACCCCTGCCGGGCACAGCTGGGCTGGGGTGAGCATGGCACAGGAGGCTGTGGCTGGTTCAGAGGAGCTGGGCATGGCTCTGCCTTGCTGGGCATGGCTGGGATAGACTGTGCATGGCATGGGGTTTCCATGCAGGGCTGCACAGTATCAGGCTGGTCTTTTGTGGTTTTCTATATCACACAGTGTTGGCCCAGGCCCGTGCATGGTTTGGCTCACAGGCACGTGGTTGCATGTGGCCAGGCTGGGCTGCATGTAGCTGTGGGGGTTCAGCTCCCACACACGTAGCTGTGCACAGTCTGGCTGTGCGTGGGCAGGGCTCTGCATTCCCACAGCAGAGGCAGGCTGGGACCCCACCAGTGCAGAACAGCACTCTGGGCACAGCACCTTTCATGTGTCTCAGGGCACTCACCTTTGGGGGCCATTTCCAAGAGATGGCTGTGCCTGGTGTGGTGGGTGCAGCCTGGGGGCCTTGGGAACACAGGATAGCTTCCCCAGAACTGCATTTTCCCAGAAGCCCTGCCCTGCAGATTCCACCCCTCCTGCTCCCAGTCTAAATTTAGCCTTGGGTGGGTGATTAACCCACTATGTCCCATGCCCAGCCTGACTTCCCATCTCGAACCACAGCTGGTGTTGGGCTCAGCCGTGGCACAGCTATCCTCCTCCATTTAACCCAATGCAGCCTGATCTTCAGCTGCTCTCACAGGGCAGGGTGCAGAGGGGCCCAAGACCCCACAGGCTGGATCAGGTCGTGATCCCTGTGTAGGGCCCAGAGCAGGGAGAGAGCAGCCAAAATAGCTACACCCAAAATAGAGCAGCCAAGCAGGAGCCCAGATGGCTGGCGACTCACTTTGGATGGCAGGGCTGTAGGGGTCCCGGATGGGAATGGCAGGGTCCAGCACCCGGTAGATGACCTGGAAGGGACAGCAAGGTGATGAGAGCAGTGCAGGGGATCCCCTGCCTCTCCTGGGACACTACGAGGGCCTCACCTCCCCCTCAGTGGAGGGCTCGATGTCAGAATAGCGGGACTCGCAGACGACATCATCGATGCGGCGCGGGGGCCCGTGGGGCACGTGGGGAAAGGAAGCAGCGCAGTCATAGGCGAAGTAGCGATACACCTTCCAGGTGTGCCCAAAGTCAGCTGAGCGCTCCACCAGCATGGCCGCGGGCCGGAACGTCTGCGAGACACCCGTGTGGGACAGGGGATAGCCCCACAGTCCCTGAGGGCGTGATCCATCCCGTCCTGTCCCAGCCTGGATACCCACAGGCTGGGACCCACCTTGAAGGTCATGATGAGGTGGGTGAAGTGGAACTCGGCCTCCAGGTCCAGCTGGATGCTGACATGCTCCACACCTGGGGGTGACAAGTGTGACAAGTGGAAGCACCCACTCACAGGTCCCGGGGGCTCGTCCTCCCCACCCGGCAGTGGTCCAGGGGCGCGGCCGCGGCCACAGGCTGAGTCACACTTCCTCAGTGTGGGAGGAAGGGAAGGAGAGCCCCCCGGGACAGGACAGGATGCTCCACCATCCCCACCCACTACTCACCGTTCTCTGACTGCCACCAGGCTTTCTTGGGGCGGGGGGCAAAGCTGGTGACCACATTCTGGATGCGGTGGCTGTTGGTGTTGGTGCGGGCATCGTAGGGCCGCCGGGAGTCGCAGATGAAGCACTTTTTCTCCTCCTGCGAGTTGGCAGACTCAATGACGCGTGTCCCCAGCCGTGTCCCGTGACCCTCATCCTTGTCTTGTCCCCCCAGGTCCCGTCCCACTTACCTGGAGGTGGCTGACGATGCAGTACTCCTGGGGCCCATCCAGCCCACAGGTGGAGGTGGCACTCAGGCGGGCTNCACCTGGGGGACAGGGACACTGTCAGACCCCCTGACATGGCCTGACTGCCCTGGCCTGCCTCTGTGGTGTGGCTCACCAAGGAAATTGGAAGTCTTGAGGGTGTGTAGCCGCTGTTCCAAGTCCTGCAGGCTATGGTTGAGGGCGCGGGCGCCCCGGTCCACAGTGTTCAGCACGTGGCTGGCATTGAAGTTGGCATCCTGAGCAGCTGTCAGCTCCCCTTCCACCCGTGTCAGCCTCTCAGTTGCCTCCTCGATCTGGTGCCTGCAAAGCACGGGGGTGAAAAGCTGCCCCTAGGCTACCCTGGGAGGCCTGCCCTGTGCCAGGTGCTCACCGCAGCCCCTCCATGGTGTGTGTCAGGTGGGCAGCGGTGGCAGCAGTGGTGTTGCGGGTGGCCACCACGTCACGTACAGCGGCCAGTTTCTCCTCCAGCTGCCGGAAGGTGCCCTCAAAGGCGCCGGCAGCCCCGGTGTGCTGCAGGAGCCTGGCCCGCTCTGCCAGCGCTCGGGTACGGGCAGCCAGATCCTGCACCACACGGTCCCAGTCCCCGAAGCAGGGGTGGCAGGGCTGGCAGGCAGGGAAGGTACCAGAAAACCCCCGGGCACACTGGTCACAGCGGACTCCAGAGATGCCAGGCCGGCAGTCGCAGTGGCCGCTGCTGCGGTGGCACTGGGCACTGGCTATGCCACGGGGGTCACAGTCGCAGGCTGCAGGGAAAGTAGTGTCAGGGCACCAGAGGCTCCACTGTGGTCCCCCCACTGGCACCAGCTCTCACCTCGGCACTGCTGCCGCGGGTCACCCCAGTGCTGCTCCTGGCAGTCCGTGCAAGTCCGGCCGCCAAAGCCTGGCCGGCAGGAGCACTGCCCTGTGAACTGACAGACATGGCATGGCCAGGCTGGCACTGCTGCAGCACACCCCCAGCCCCATCCCATCCCCCAACCCTGTCGTGTCTCACCTGGTTGCAGGTGGGTGACAGGGAGTGCTGGGGGTGGCAGTCACAAGGCTGGCAGCCTTGCCCGCTGGCCAGGTTCCAGTAGTTGGGGCTGCAGCGGTCACAGCTCTGGCCCTCCACATGGGGCAGGCAGTGGCATTGCCCACTCTGCCTGTCACAGTGGCACTGCTGCGGCCCACAGGTGCTGGCATCAGTGCCCAGGGGGTTGCAGGAGCAACCTGGAACCAAGAGGCACTGAGCAGAGATAGAGTTGAGGGAATGAGGGCAAGGATGGGAATGAGATTGGGATGGAGATGGGATGGAAGTTCTGATGGGGACAGAGCAGGAGTGGGATGATGATGGATGAAGGTGGAAGCAGAATGGACACAGAGATTGGACAAGGATGGGGTGGAGACTGGATGAAGGTGGAATGTGTGCAGCATGAGGACCACTGGTGGGGATGGGATGGAGATGGGACCAGGGTCAGGATAGAGCTGGAATAAGGACAGGATGGGGACAGATGGATGGCAGTGGGGATGGGATGGCAATGGGGACAAGAATGGGCATGAGAATAGGATATAAATGAGAAGGAATAAGTTGGACATGGGGACAGGGACTGGGCCACAGTGCTGGGCCTGGGCAGAGGAGACAACCCTGTTAGAGGGCAGGGCTGCAGGGACTCCACAGCCCTGTGCACAAGCAGGGGCAGCCATTGGTGCACATGGGACTATTGCACACATGGTACCCAGGGATGTGTCAGGCCCTGGAGGCAAGTCTGTGTCTGTCCTGGCAGGCAGTGGGTACTCACGCCTGCAGCTGTGTCGTGTGGCATCCCCGTAGAAGCCAGGCTGGCACTCGGCGCAGTGGGGCCCTGCGGTGTTGTAGAGGCAGCGCAGGCACTGCCCTGTGCGCCGGTCACACGCCTCCGGGTCCGTCACGTCGATGTTATCGTGGCACTGGCAGGGCAGGCAGCGCCCACCCTGCAGAGGGTCCCCATAGTACCCAGGGGCACACTCATCACAGCGGGAACCTGCTGACACAGAGCGCTGGGCAGTGCCTGGGGACAGGGCACCCCAGCAGGCACTGAGTGTGCCCTGGCAGGTACCCACCTGTGTACCCAGGGCTGCAGTGGCAGATGACCTGCTGGGAGTGGCTGTCTTGGTAGCAGGAGGCAGCGAAGTGGCGGGGGGTGCTGGGCCCCTCAGGACAGGGGCAGGGCCGGCAGTGCTGCCCGGAGCCAAGCGCTGGGTTCCCAAAGTGTCCGGCTGCACACCTGCTGGCAGGAGGTCAGCAGGAGCTGGGGCTGCTGGCAGCACCCTGCCCCAGTCTGGCCAGGTCCCCCACCTACCTCTGGCACCTTTCCCCATCCGTGTGGTCACGGCAGCGCAGGCAGCTGCCTGTGCGAGGGTCACAGCTCTCGGCGTGCCCGTTGCACTGGCAGGGTCGGCACACAGGGAAGCCCCAGTGGCCGGGCTGGCAGCGGTCACAACGTGGACCGTGGGTGCCTTCACGGCAGGGGCACTGCCCGGTGGTGCTGTCACAGATGGTGCTCACTGAACCCTCATGGCTGCACTGGCATGCTGGAAGGCACAGCACCCACAGCGTCCAGCCCTGAGCTGTAGAGAGCACTCCTTCCCCATGCCCCCAGCCCTGGGATGCCCAGGCTCCTCTCCCACTGGCACTCACGTCGGCACCCGCCGGGCCCAAAGCCAAAGGTTCCCGGAGAACAGCGGTGACAGCGCCGTCCCATGACATTGGGTTTGCACTGGCACTGCCCGCCCTGGGGCTGGCACTCGGCACTGAGCGAGCCCTGGGGATCGCAGAGGCAGGCTGTGGGCAGAGAGCAGGGTCAGCGTCAGCTGCTGTGGGACAGGGGCAGGACAGGGTGTGGGGCTGTACTCACGCAGCGCCCCGTCATGCAGGATGGCCGAGAGGCTGTGCAAGAGGCTGGAGCAAGGCTCAGCCACAGGTGAGGGCCCTGCAGCGTGGAAGGGCTGGGCACAGTGGTACCGCTCAAAGGTTTCCCGGCGCTCCATGGAGCTGGGGTCACCCGCAATGAACATCTCCAGTGAGGAGTAACGGGGCAGGAGCACCAGCTGCGGGGCAAAGTCAGTGGGACATCACATCCCTCTCTCCCTGTGTTCCCTATGGCTGCGTCCTATCTCCCTGAAGGGTTGCTGTCCCCCATCCCAGTGCCCGTCTGCCCCTCACCGAATCGATGAGCACACTGGCAGTGGGATCCTGATGAGCAGCAGCACAGCCCAGTTCCAGGCGGAGCGTGTAGGAGACACCCTGCTCCAGACAGATGGGCTGGGACAGCACCACATACCTGGATGGGGGCAAAACACAGCAAGGGCAGCCATGTGCCTCCAGTGAGCCCCAGCACAGCGCAACCCTACTGAGGTGTTTACCTGGCACCAGAGGGGAGGCTGGTGGAGAGCTGGTCATCGGCAGGGATGGTGTTTCCACAAGGGCTGCTGGCGGAGACAGGGCTGGGGCGCAGCACCTTCAGCCTCACCTCCTGCCAGGCCTCTGGGTGCTGGCAGCCAAGAAAGGGCAGTGTCAAAAAGCCTCACCACCTGGAACTCCCCACCACAACCTCCCAATCTGGCAATATATCACAGTGCTGGCTTCACCATCCAGCACTCACCTGTGGCTCATAGCGGATGACCACATCGTACTCGGTGGAGAAAGGCACATCACTCACGTGGAACTCCACCCAGCCACCTTCCAACATGCGGGCAAAGCCTGTCCCTGTCCAGGAAGCTGGACGGTCTGGGGGCGGCTCACGTTCCACCACTGAGCCCTGGTGCAAGCAGGTGTTGTGAGATGGGACCCTGAAAATCACCTTGGCCAGCAGGCACTGCTCTGCCGTGAGCAGGGAGGGCAGACCATTGCCTGCTGGTCTGGGCACCCTGCAAAGGGGCACCCACTGTGCTGCTCTGCCTGATGTCCTCCCCAGGGACACCTGCATTCCTTACCTGATGCAGCCGTGCATCCTCCGCCTCATAGGTGTAATGATCCAGGTTGATGCGGTAAAAACCGGTCTCCACCTGCTCACACTGTCGTCCTATCACATGGCTGCGGCACTGGCACTGCCCTGTCCCCATGGCACACCTGGTACCCCAGCAGCACCATCAGCCCTGATGCCAGGAGAGGTGCCCCTTGCCCTCTGCATCCCCGCAAAGACTCACAGGTTGTTGCGAGCACCTCCCACATCACAGTCACAGGGCCGGCAGCCCGGGAGGTCGTGGCTCAGTCCCCAGTGCTCGGGCTGCAGGGGGTCACAGGGTGTTAAAGAGCAGCTGCCTGTGTGCTGCAGTGCTGAGCACGGTGCAGGGGCCGTGGCACAGCCCCACTCACCAGGCACTGGTTGCAGCTGCGCCCGGTCACCAGTCGCTTGCAGAAGCACTCCCCACTGACAGGGTCACACCGGCTGCCATCAGCCACCGTGCCACGGGGGTCACAGTGGCACCCTGCATGGAGAGCCAGCAGTTTCCAGCAATGCCAAACCACGTGCCCAACCCCAATAGGTGCCACCCTGGTACCTACTCCGGCAGCCTTGCGGGTTGTCGGCGCTGAGGCCGAAGAAGCCGGGCTTGCAGCGGTCACAGCGGGGACCACCAACGTGCTCCTTGCAGCGGCACTGCCCCGCAATCAGGCCCCTGGCTGGGTCATCAGCACCATCACACAGCCCACCATCCAGAGAACCCTCAGGGTCACAGTCACAAGCTGGGGAGACAGGCAGGGTGAGCACTGTGACCACCAAAGCACCCCCCTGCACATCCTGTCCCGCACTGACCTCGGCACACCGCGGGGTCCCGCAGGTCCTTGGTGGGGTCCTTGTAGTAGAAGGGCTTGCAGAGGTGGCAGCGACGGCCCATGGTGTTGTGCTGGCAGCCATCACACACACCCCCACTGGTGTTCCCCGTGGCCAGGAACACGGCCATGTCAAAGTGGCACCGCCGTGAGTGCTCGTTGCAGTCACAGCCTGCAGGGACAGCACCATGGCATGGCATGGGGCACCACAGCCCACAGCTGGCAGGAAGCACTCCAAGTGCCAAACCTCCCCTGCCTGGGCTCTCCTTGCTGACATGCAGCAACACAATCCCAAACCTCCCCAAATTACAGTCCTGGCACCCTAGACACCCTCAGCCAGTCTGCATGATGCCAGTCACCACCAAACCACACCCCATTGTACAACACCCCAAAACCCCTGCACAGCACAGCCTGGCAGCTCTGGCACTGGGATCACTGTGCCAGGAGCCGGTGCCAGCAGGGCACTCACGGCGACAGGCGTTGGTGCTGGAGCCCTCGGCCGGGCGCCAGGGCAGGTCTTGGTAGAAATCGTCGCAGCGCTCGCAGTTCAGCCCCTGCGTGTGGTGTTTGCAGACACAGCGCCCGTGCACCTGCCAGGATGCCACGGTGAGGGGCTGTGGTCCTAGATGGCACAGCTACCCAGCTGCAGCAGGGCACACAGGCCTGGCCTGCCCTACCATGCCATCGGTGGTGGCAGGGGCCCCGCTGAGCGGGGCGCACTCAGAGGCGTGCCCGTAGCAGAAGCAGTTCCCGCGCATCACCAGCTCGTAGAGCGCGTAGTAGTACTTCTCCCGGATCTCCCGCCGAGAGTCCAGCAGGTTGTCCCCCAGGGTGTGCAGCTTGGTGAGGTTCACCCGCAGGTTGGTGACACGCAGCAGGTCTAGGGCAGGGAGAGACCCCTGTTGGCACAGGGTGGCTGGGCACGTCTATGCACAGCTCACCCCTGCCGGGCACAGCTGGGCTGGGGTGAGCATGGCACAGGAGGCTGTGGCTGGTTCAGAGGAGCTGGGCATGGCTCTGCCTTGCTGGGCATGGCTGGGATAGACTGTGCATGGCATGGGGTTTCCATGCAGGGCTGCACAGTATCAGGCTGGTCTTTTGTGGTTTTCTATATCACACAGTGTTGGCCCAGGCCCGTGCATGGTTTGGCTCACAGGCACGTGGTTGCATGTGGCCAGGCTGGGCTGCATGTAGCTGTGGGGGTTCAGCTCCCACACACGTAGCTGTGCACAGTCTGGCTGTGCGTGGGCAGGGCTCTGCATTCCCACAGCAGAGGCAGGCTGGGACCCCACCAGTGCAGAACAGCACTCTGGGCACAGCACCTTTCATGTGTCTCAGGGCACTCACCTTTGGGGGCCATTTCCAAGAGATGGCTGTGCCTGGTGTGGTGGGTGCAGCCTGGGGGCCTTGGGAACACAGGATAGCTTCCCCAGAACTGCATTTTCCCAGAAGCCCTGCCCTGCAGATTCCACCCCTCCTGCTCCCAGTCTAAATTTAGCCTTGGGTGGGTGATTAACCCACTATGTCCCATGCCCAGCCTGACTTCCCATCTCGAACCACAGCTGGTGTTGGGCTCAGCCGTGGCACAGCTATCCTCCTCCATTTAACCCAATGCAGCCTGATCTTCAGCTGCTCTCACAGGGCAGGGTGCAGAGGGGCCCAAGACCCCACAGGCTGGATCAGGTCGTGATCCCTGTGTAGGGCCCAGAGCAGGGAGAGAGCAGCCAAAATAGCTACACCCAAAATAGAGCAGCCAAGCAGGAGCCCAGATGGCTGGCGACTCACTTTGGATGGCAGGGCTGTAGGGGTCCCGGATGGGAATGGCAGGGTCCAGCACCCGGTAGATGACCTGGAAGGGACAGCAAGGTGATGAGAGCAGTGCAGGGGATCCCCTGCCTCTCCTGGGACACTACGAGGGCCTCACCTCCCCCTCAGTGGAGGGCTCGATGTCAGAATAGCGGGACTCGCAGACGACATCATCGATGCGGCGCGGGGGCCCGTGGGGCACGTGGGGAAAGGAAGCAGCGCAGTCATAGGCGAAGTAGCGATACACCTTCCAGGTGTGCCCAAAGTCAGCTGAGCGCTCCACCAGCATGGCCGCGGGCCGGAACGTCTGCGAGACACCCGTGTGGGACAGGGGATAGCCCCACAGTCCCTGAGGGCGTGATCCATCCCGTCCTGTCCCAGCCTGGATACCCACAGGCTGGGACCCACCTTGAAGGTCATGATGAGGTGGGTGAAGTGGAACTCGGCCTCCAGGTCCAGCTGGATGCTGACATGCTCCACACCTGGGGGTGACAAGTGTGACAAGTGGAAGCACCCACTCACAGGTCCCGGGGGCTCGTCCTCCCCACCCGGCAGTGGTCCAGGGGCGCGGCCGCGGCCACAGGCTGAGTCACACTTCCTCAGTGTGGGAGGAAGGGAAGGAGAGCCCCCCGGGACAGGACAGGATGCTCCACCATCCCCACCCACTACTCACCGTTCTCTGACTGCCACCAGGCTTTCTTGGGGCGGGGGGCAAAGCTGGTGACCACATTCTGGATGCGGTGGCTGTTGGTGTTGGTGCGGGCATCGTAGGGCCGCCGGGAGTCGCAGATGAAGCACTTTTTCTCCTCCTGCGAGTTGGCAGACTCAATGACGCGTGTCCCCAGCCGTGTCCCGTGACCCTCATCCTTGTCTTGTCCCCCCAGGTCCCGTCCCACTTACCTGGAGGTGGCTGACGATGCAGTACTCCTGGGGCCCATCCAGCCCACAGGTGGAGGTGGCACTCAGGCGGGCTNTGTGCTGCTTGGTGCTGTCTGGGATCCTCTGGACCGGCCGGGCTGGGTGCTGAGCCGGCAGCCCTGGAGCCCTGTAGGGAGCACGGCTGTGCACCAGGGCCGGGTTCCACAGAGCCCTCACTGTCACGCAGGGATAGCGCCTTGCCTTTTATTAGCCAAGGCCGAGGGCAAAGGAAGGAAGAGGAGCCGTGTGCTCTCCACGCCAAGGCCACGCTCTGGCCACCCGCCGCCAAGCAAGGTCATGGACAGACAAAGAAGCAGCTCTCGGCCGTAGGGATGCCAAAACCCACACCCCCAGGGACACCCTGAGACAGCCAGGCACCTCAGCAGGACAAGGGATGCTGTGCACAGCGCACTACCAGCTCCCCATAGCCATGCACGGCACTGGGAAGGCTGGAGGAGGGGCCAGGCTGTGCCCCCAAGGGCCCAGCAGGGCAGGCTGGTGGTCAGGCACCACTACCACCTTGTGAGCTGGGAGAGCTGGCAGGAGATGAGCTGACAAAGAGCCATCAGCGCTAGCCAGCGTGTCTGTGTCACGGGATCTTGCCAAGCAAACCTCATCTGCTCTGAGGAGATCCAAAGAGGCCTGATAAAGGCAACTGTAACAGGATCTCTGGCCTTGAAAAGCAAAGTAAAAGTGGGAGGGAAGGATTCTCAGCGGGATGTGAGGGACAAGAGAGGCATCCCAGTCCATTTCCAGGCACCTCCCCTGAAGACTGCTCTGACTTCCCATGCCAAGCTGCAATCCCTTCCTCTGCCCCAGAGCCGAACGCGTGGGGGTGCCCGGGTCCGCCCGGGGACAGGGCCTGTCCGGGGGCAGCTCCACTGGCGGAGATCCGCCAGCAGCTCTGCCCTCCATCACCGGCGTCCGAACGCTGCCGAGCGTCCCCCGCTTCCTCGGGTGCCCACAGCCTCGCTGCCCCGCACCTTTCAGCAGTGATCAGGGCACTCTTGCAGAGCACAGAGACCCCCTCGTCCCCCCCATCCTCGGCAGAGCCCCTGGGCTCCAGGGCAGCCTCTCACGCCTGGCCAGCCCTGCTTGGACCGACTTCCGTGCACGCAGCAGGCAGCCAGCACTTTCCCGAACATCCTTAATGAGCAGAGAATTACTTAACCACTTCCCTTCTCGAGGAATGAGCTCCAGCACGGCACCGGAGCTGCTGTCTGCCCAGGGCCACGGTCCCACCAGCATTAGTGCTGGGTCAGTGCACTGACAGCCCCGCAGCACACACTGGATCCAGATCGCAAACCGTGGAACAATGGCGCTTCTGTTGAATTAGCCGGGCAGAGGGTCCCGGCTGCCGAGTGGGCAGATCCAGAGAGGAGGCAGAGGATGGGCAGGCAGGCTGGGGCTGGCAGAAAACCCACCAGCACAGTGCCACCCTGCATGTTTCTAGGAACTAACCAGGAATGTGGATTTATCCCAGTCAGGCACCAGTGTCACACAGCCGGGGTATTTCCCACCCCAAACCAGGCAATCCTTAATGGAGTTTGAGTAATGCCAAACTTCCCTGGGAGATCTGGGGAGAAGAGCTGGGGGTGTGGTGTGCAGCTGAGCGTGCCCCATGCAGCAGCTGGCACACGGGAAACACCATTCCATGGAGCTGACACAGGGCTGGGAGCAGGAGCCCAGGGAGGAGCAGTCTGTCATAGCCCAAAGAAACGCTGGACACATTGGGTGGTTCTGAGCACCATTTTACTGAAGGGCTGGACACCTGCTAGGACTTCATAACAAAATTCACTTCATTTAAGAAAAATGACAGTCTGTTTTTTGTCCCATTCCCTTCCAAAGAGTGGAATAATACTAATGCTGTCTTTTCACTAAGCAATGCCATTCCAAAATATACAACGTTGAGTGTGGAACAGCCCAGCTTCATATTAACATTAAATATTATTAGAACTTCAGAAACATTCTACACAAACAAATGAAACAGTAAAAAGTTCACTCAAGAACAAGATAGTCATTGTCCTGCAGGTTGCAGTTGCTGCTCCCCAGCATTTCTTGGGATGCCCCAACACCAAGGAATGCCACAGCAGAGCCCGTGGTGCTGCTCTCAGCTGGAGCAGGTCGGTGCAGCTGTGTGGAGTCGGCTCTCATGGAGATGCTGGTTGGCAGAGAGTGGCTGGGCAGTGCCCACCCAGAGCCCCCGTGTCACTCAGAGCAGCTGCCATGCCTGTGCTCAGGAAATGCTCCTCCTCAGCTCAGGAGAGCTGCACCAGGACCCAGGAGGAGAGAGGGCATCACACGGTGCCTTCCCCACCATGAACAAACACTGACACTCCTCTTGTCCCAGTCCTGGCCTGGGCAGGGCGGTGCAGCAGGGGCAGGAGGGGAGGTATTTCTGGGGGTAGCTCTGCAGCACCTTCTCTTTTCAAACAGCACCATGTGCCTGTGTCTGTGGGAATCACCAGACACTCACAGGGCTGCTGTAGCCACAGGAACACAGGAATGGAAAGGGCTAATTAAGACAATAAGGAGAGAGTCCCAGACGATAATAAGGCCTTTAAGGGACTCTCTGGGGAAGGTGTTTTGGAGGCCACATGAGCAGTGCCAGATTGTGAGACTGATGAAGGATGGGAATGAAGGGTTGGGGGGTACCTGCTCCAAAAGGACTCCCACTCCCCTGCAGCACCAGTGTGCATGTACTGCTGCCAGGCAGGGTAGGGGGAGCTCTGTGGCCAGGCAGGGATGGAGGGAAGACAGTGATGTGAAAAGCCACAGCCTTGGCTCCATTTTTGCACATCTTCTGCAGCAGACACAGAAGCAGCAGGCTGCTGGCTGTCCAGGTGCTGCTGGCATTTTTAGCTTTCCCTACTCCCAGCTTCTTGCTTTTTCACCAGCCTTCCTTAGTGCTCCTAAGCATAGGGAGGGGTCTGGCCTCAGCACCATGGCTTTGGAGGCAGCTGCTGGCCAACCTGCAAGTTCCAGCAGTGTCCCAACTACAGACAAGCTTCATTCCACACTCAGGGATGACCTGGTGACAAAGGCTAGCCTCTCATGTCTTCTGGGACAACATTCCTCCAAGACACCTGGCACCTTCCTAACAGCATCCAGCTCCAGGCAGAACAGGCTGCAAGGAGAGGGAAACCCTAGCATGGTGCTCTCTAGCAGAGTCCAGAATGTGAGGGCTCAGGAGCATCCTGCCCTGCTGGGCTCTCCACAGGTTGTGCCAGCCCAGGTAGCTGGCAAAGCTGAGGGCTGCAGCATTGTCAGGAAGGTGCCAGATATCCCAAAACTGCTGTCCTCCCCATGGGCCACCTTAACTCCTGCAAGGCCATCCCCATCTGAGCACAGGGGCAAAGAGGCCAGTGCCCTTTTGAAGACTGAAAAAGAAACTGTCACTTCCACAAAAACCAACCAGCCTGGCTGAGCAGCCGGTGCTCCACAGCTCAGCACCAACCCTGCCAACCACGGTCAAAAAAAGGATCCTCCCACCAGAACCTGCCTTCCTGCCCGGGAAGCTGCTCAGCTGGAGTCACACTGCCCAGCTGGAGCTGAGAGACAAACCTGCTCTCCATACCCAGGGATCCCTTGAGCCATGGCCAAAGGCCCAGCTTCTAGACAGGGCAGGGAACTTGGATCCAAAGGGGAAGAACTGCTGGGCTGGCTGAACCCCCGCACTCTGGCAAGTTCTGGCCATGAACACAGCACAAGTCACAAATTAAAGGGCACAAACTCTGTGCTCAATTCCAAAACCTAGAGCCTCCCAGCCCCTCTTGCCACACCTGGAGCTGAAGAAATGCTCCTGCTGTACTGGGGGGCCTGGAGGACAGACCACAAACCACGGGCAGCTGTGGAGCAGAACCTTGGAGCCACATGTGCAGCATCACCCATCTGTGCCGTGCTGCTGCTGATTCCCCTGGCATGTTCCTAGCTGGCAACTGGCTGAACTCCATGCAAGGAAGCACCAGGCACTGGGGGGATCTCAGCCCACTAACCCCAGCCCTGGTAGTTTGACCTGGTCTGAGAGCTGCCCAGTGAGGTGAGCACTCCAGGGAGCACACCTCATCCACACACTGAAATATCACTGATGGGCTGCCAAGCAGAACAAAAATAATCCCTTCTTTTTTTTTTTTGCAAAAAAAGTGCTTAAGAAATTCTGTACAAGGATTGCTACAGCAGCTGGCTCATGGGGATGCAAATACTTTAGAAGCAGCAGCAGCAACATGCTACATGGCTTGCAGGGAAGAGGCTGAGGAGAAACTTCTACAACCATAAGCAGTGGCAGATGGTGAAATCTGATCACAGTGGACATGAGCTTCAGAACATTTCTACCAATTAACTTGTGATTTCAACTGGTATCTGATGTCAGCTTCCCCTTCAGCTGCCTGCCGGACAGGCTGCTCTCCCCATGGACCTTGCTGACGGACATCTGAAGCATGCAGGAAGCTCAAAGACCTTGTCTGGTGGAAAGGAAGCATAAACTGCTCCTTGGCAGCTGAACAAAAGGAGAAATTATTTCCAAAAAAATCAGTTGGAAGAAGAGCCCTTTGACCGCTAGCCGAATCATTTCTAGAAGTGACAGTGGCACAAATCCATGCGTTAAAAGCATTCCTCAGAGAGTCTCCAAAGCTCTCTGCTGTCACAGTGCCCAGAACAACACAGGCCAGGTTAGGCACTTGGATGAATTCAAAGTGACTAATACAGAAACAGGTCTGGACAAGGTGCATACCACATGCTCAGCAGAGACCACAGCGCTCTGGGCAATGCATTTCTCTGTGCCTGCCAGTTACTGTTGCACAGATCCCTGCAAGTGTTATTCAGCTGCCACAGACTAACACAGGATAGAAGGGACCTGTGGAGGAGACTTCTGGCTAGATCAGGTCTTAGGTAGCTCTGGTTTGATCAAACCCTTCATCTACCCTGAACAGCAGAGAGCAACACGCACACAGAGTCCCTCTGCAGCCTCATGCACATCAGTGTTACATGCCCAGGGCACCACGAGCACCCACACCTGGGCATGAGCTGAAGGATGGGGGAGCCAACCTGTGCCAGACTGAGGCACCAGTGCTGGCCGGTACCAGGGCAGCAGTTGCTGGCATTGGCACAGAGGCTGTAAACCCCTCTATAACAACCTGCAACCCTTTCAGTCAAGTTCCCAAAGCACCTGCAAGAGGAGGAAGAGGCAAGAGGAGGGCAGGGAATGGAGGTTAAGCACTGCCCTGCTGCTCAGGGCCCTGTGGTCTGTTAGAGATGCACAGGAGAGCTGACAGAGAGGGGACTGGTGATGAGCAAGTCCCTGAGCACACAGCTATGGTGTGCTCACTTCCCTGGCAGCAGCCTCAGTGGCACAGAGGTGTTTCCAAAGCTTGTCTCTCCCTGTGGAGCAGAACACCTTTTGCTGGTGGCCTGGAAGGACACAGGGCAAACTGTCGCCACTAAGCACGCACAGAACTCAGCTCAGTGCTGGGAAAGGCACGGCAGCACAAAGGCTGGATGCTGTGCTGGATGTGTTAAGCAACAATAAAAGTCAAGTCCTTGACTGGCAGAGACCCAAGCTGTGAAAGACAAGAGGTGATAAAAAAGAGTGAAGAGGCAGGCAGCAGTACAGCTGAGAGAAGACACACAGTGATGAGGAGGGATGTGCCCTGGTAAGTTGGCCTCAGGTGCTCAGCTTCCCACTCAGGCTGGAGGAAAAGAGGCTCCGACCTGGATTCAGCCTTGTTGATGCACGTTGTTTTTCCCAGCGGAGGCCAAGGGCTCAGCTGGGACGCCTGTGCTGCATAAGGAGACTCCAAAGACAGCTCTCAGTGCCCTTATAAGGGTCTGGGAACGGGGGAAGCTGCTGAGCAGCCTGACAGCAATACCACAGGCAGGAGTTCAGAGCCCTCCTCGGGAAACAGCCCAAAAGAGAAACACCAGTGCAGGACTTCAAGACCTGGCATTTGAGAGCGTGGGAATGAGAAAGGTCTGAAGGAGTGGGAACAAAAGGAACAAAGCAATTTTTGGCCAGTTGACAGTGATGGAGAGCCCCTGTTCATCCAGCACCAGGTCAGGACAGGGAACTCTCTGCCAGGGCATTTTAAAACACAGAAGCAGAAGAAAATATTTCCTCCTCCTTGGCAGCCAAGCAGCGGCATTCACAGGTCACTCTCAAACACTGCAAGTTATGATCTCTGACAGCAACTCAGAATCCAAGTCTGGGGTTCAGGGCTTGCAATCATTCCCTGAACCATAAAATCACAGAAGGGCTTGGGTTGGAAGGGATCTTAAAGACCATCTTGTTCCATGGGCAGGGACACTTTACACTAGACCAGGTTGCTTAGTGAAAGTGAACCTCCACCCTGCTCTATGTGGGTGAGAGGAGAACCCAGATGCACCTCAGAACACTCAACTTCCCTGCCTTCTCACCCTGTCATGAACATCCTCTCTCCTCTCCATACCAGTCTTCCTTTCTGTGCTGGGGATCAGACACTGACCCGCTTTATAAATCACTGAAATCCAACCAGGTGCTTGGGGGTGGGGCTCAAATATAAGGACCTGGGACTTCCCTGGGGAGCTCATCCCTTCAGCCAATGTCCACAGAGATTATTAGGTCAGACAACTGGTGTTTTGAGCAGGTGAGAGAATGAGTGGATTACACTACTGCTGCAGACATCTGAGCAGACAGCGATATCCAGAGCCAGGCCCATACCCAGCCCAATGCCTCTTCCTTTCCCCAGGACAGCAGGTTGTCCCTTCCAGGTGACAGCAGCAGCACTAACTGCTCCAGTGAGGTGTTTCTCCTGGGATTAGTAGATCCCTCCCTGTGGAGTGCAGAGAGCACAGAGCCGTGTTCTGATCCAACAGTGTGCCCGGTGCAGGGAGGTGACAGCAGCCGTGTGCAGCGGTTCTGCAGTGCCTCCTAGGGATGGCAGAGCCTGCACTCCTCCTTCCACACAGAGCTCTCACACCTGCCACACACCTTCTCACAACATCCCTGATGGCACAACTAGGCTGCCACCCCCCACATGATGCCCATCTCCCCTCCTACTGCTTCATCCCCACAAACCACAGAAAGCGACTCTCTATGTTTAAGTGCTGGTGTATGTGCTCCCAAATTTTTCACTTTTCTGCTTTAACTCAGGCTCAAGTATCCCACTGAGTCTGGGACTGGCAGGATGTAGCTAAAGCATTCAAACACAGCATGTGTCTCTGTTGTGGTTTAACTCCAGCCAAAGCCAACAGTTCTCTACCAGCCCCTGGGATCTGCTCCTGGAACACCCAGCAACAGCAGAGCAGTTACATGGGGGGCAGGACACTACACAGTTCATGCTAACAATTCCAGCCCTTTGGCTCTAACAGTCACAGCTGCTGATCCATAGCTGCACCTGGGGTATAGGAGAGCAGAGTAATGCTGGGTGCTGAGGAGGAATCCTCTTTGGAGGCAAATCCCTACCATGTGTTCAAAACTTCTGCTACCCACAAAGGGAGGAGGTGCCCAAAGATGTCAGACAGACTTGCAGCCCTGTGACACTCCCCCACTGTTATGCAGAGGTTATACTGAAAACAGAATTAAAACTACCAGCTGGTAATTCTCCAGATTGTTTGGCATTCTGGAGACAAACAAGTGGCTACACTGCTGCTGCCTCTGAGCTGCTCAAGGGAGCCCAGGACAGACTGTCACAACAATGAACCACAAAGGAATTCTGGCACCTTTCAACAAAAGGCTAGCTGAAGGGAAGGAGGAACAAAAGCTATCAAACCCAATCCCAAAGGGATGGAGGAAGTGCATCTTCCCACAGTTCCTGGGCCATATGCACATATATGGATATATAGATATATAGATAATAAAGTTATAAAATTTGATCAAAATAAAACCAGTAAATGTACAGCTTGAAAAAGAGCAATATCACAGTGCATCAATGTTATGAGAAAGTCCTGTGTTCTCCCCTGCACAAGAGCACAGCCTGCCACGTTCAGGGAAGGGTGGTGAGAAGTGAGCTCTCTGGCCTGCTCAGCTCAATGCTGGCCAGAGTCACTGTCCCACACTCCCAAACAGGGGTTTGGATTTCTGCAGCCAGTTCTGCACAGCAGTGGCAGACAGGCAGGAACAGCATGAGAGTGGGCTGCTCTGTCTGCAGGTTAGTGGGCATATTGGCACCAGAGACACAGAGTCACTCCTAGGCCTCTCTGTGCTCTGGTGCCAGGCTCGTATTTACTTACTTACAGAAAAAAGTGACAAAGTGAAGAAATTCAGGGGACACTATGAGAATGGGACAAGGGCTGAATTTGGATCACAGGGGACAAGTTGACCCTAAGAATCTTCTGTGCTCTCCTCCTCACTTCATCATCAGAGGAAGAGTTGCCCACCTTGATGGTCCGGAATTTCAGCAGGTTCAAAGTGCTCTGAGCCTTTTGACTTTTCTTTCGGACAGGAATGGTATTTGCTTTTTTCCTCTGTGGTGCTTCTTTTGCCTCTGTAGCTCTTCTCTTCTTCTGCCTAGTGCCCTCCTGGTAAGTGCTGCTGTCCTTCCATTCTGTTTTTCCCAGCAGAACTTCCTTATCTTTGATTTTCAAGGTCTTGGGCTGTGGCGCTGTGGTGCAGTCCTGGGACGAGCTGCCTGCGACTCTCCCGTTGAGAACTCCGGAGGCTTTGCAGGCGTTGCTCTCCTGCAGCACTCCCCCCTTTGGTCCCTTCAGAAGCTTTAAAGCACGGGTGCCAGAATTGGGTGCTTTCTTAACCAAACGCTTGTACCCCTTGCCTTCGGTTATTTTAGTGCTCTTGCCTGAAGAAAACTGCCTTGGTGCACTTGAAGTCTTGAGGAGTTTAAGGTCTGAGGGAGAGATGCCAAGAGGCCCCTGTGTGTACTTGGACTCCAAACAGGACGTGGCAGTTTTCAGTGGCACCAGGGCTTCCAGAACCACTGACAGTCTCATAGCTGGATACACGTCAGGATACATGCTTGTAGGGAAGCCCACCGTCGCCGCCTTGGATGTGCCAGATCCTGTCTGCTTCAAGGAGCTCAAGAGGAGATTTCTGGAATCCCCTTTGGAGACTTTCAAAGAGCTCACTGGCATGCTGGTGGGCAAAGGGGCCACTTTTGCCCCTGAGTTCCTGGCTGGACTCTGGGTGGGCTCAGTGGTGCTGGCACAGTTGTGCTGAGTGTTTGCTCCCGTCTGAGTCGGCGTGACTGCCGTGCACGAGCTGTACCCGTACACATCCTTACTCCTCAGAATCGTGGGCTGGTAGCCCTCCTCCTTCAGGCCTTGGATGAAGGCCACCAGCTGGGTCTCTGTGTCCGAAAGATCCTTGGACATCGGGTTGAAGACTCGGAGGGCTTCCTCCAGAACTTTCTGTCCTGCAGAGGAAATTCTTGACCAGGAATGGACAGCTTTTTCTTCCTCATGGTTCACTGCAATATTCATGGCATTAGGCAAGCAGGTGCTTCAAAAAGGTCCAAATTACTGGAAAAACAACCCTTGACACCTCAAAAGGAGAAAGAAGACAGTTAGCTTACAGCAACTGAAATTATCCAAGTTTTTAATATGGGACCTGAAACCATTAAGCCCAGGCATGGCTGGTCGCAAACCCTGGGTCAGATTCTGGGCTCAATCCAACATAGAAGCACCACCAAGAAAAACCTGTCACTCATTTATCTCTGAAATAAAACTAAAACATCTCTCACAAAAATATCCTCCAACCTAAACAAAGATTTCAGGAAATCCCATCCAATCCACCCCAAGATGAAGGACTCCAATGATTAACTCAGCAAAATCTGCAGCTCATTTCCAGTTTGAGTCTGACCCACCCCAGCTTTGGACAAACAGATCTCATTTTCTCTGGGAAAAACTGAACCCTCATTGAACCTTTTCCCTGTGTACACATCTCAACCAGCACCATTGAGCCATCTCAACAAAAAGAAATGCCTAAGTACTTCAACTGCATCCCAGCACCACCTTCAATTTCTCAGCTTCTAAACTGATGCCACTCAAAAATTGATTCTGAGTCCCCTGCCAAAGCTGCAGCTTCCTCCTGGAGACCTGGCAGCAGGGCTGAAGGCTGTTCCAGTTGTGCTTCGTTGATGCTGAATGCTGTGGCAAGGCAGCCTTGCTCCTTGCTGTTCTCTTGTTTGAACAACGGTCCACAACTTGCTGTCACAGCAAACTGGTGCTGATCCAAGGACACTTGCTGCCAAGTGAGGAGGAAGCAGGAAATTCAAGCAGGGCGGTATGAAGGAAACACGCATCACCAGGGCCAAGTGTACAAAGGCCTGAGGGACAACACTGGGATCACACTCAGGGCACTGTGCAGCTGCCTGCCCAGCATAAAAGCATCAATTATTGCTTTCAATAAAAAATAGGCACTAAAGGGCACTCCAGGCAGGACTTGAAGGGCAGCCCTTCAAGAGAACTCTGATCCTGGTGGCCTCACAGCTTCACAGCTGGATGCTAGACCAACATAAAATCTTTTGCTTTATTGATACTCTCAAAATAATAATGAAGATTCAGCTAAAAAACCTGATCAGGGAAATGCAGGTGGTGTCAGAGACAGTTCTGGAGAGGGCAGTGCACAGGCAAGAAAGCTGTGATGGAGAAGTCAGTGCCTGAGCAGCCAGAACAAGGAACTGCACATGTTCCATGTTCCCCCAGAACTCTGGTCTCACACAGCACAGGAGCAGAGCCCGTGCTGCCGCCAGCTGCACAAGCAGGGAAGAGACACAAGGCAAGAGCAGCCACAGAAGGGAAAGCACAGGTCAGTGGGGGAGTAAGAACCTCCACATGACAGACTAATCTCAGTCAAGTGCTCTGCAGACGTCACGGCCAAAGAGGGATTTGGAGGAGGATAATGCAGTTGTTCAGAGGCAGGCGGGGGATCTCCCACGAAGGAGGGGAAGCAGGCAGGGAGGTGATCCCACAGAGCCCCAGCCAGCGTCACCAGCCAGCACTGAGAGTCACCACCTCCAAAGTGACCAAGCAGTGCCAGGCACAGGAAAGCCAGAGAAGGTGTAATGGTAATTTTGATGTGGTGAGGCAGAGACCAAGAAGCACAAGTAGCAACATGTGCTCAACAGGCTGCAAAATGGTTCATCTTCAGGCTGCAGCAAGCCCGGGAGCAGCTGGGACATCTGAAGGGGTGTTCAGGCTGTGACATTTCATGGGAACAGTACTTTCCACCATCCAACCGCTCGGTGCTGTTTGGTGCAGTGCCAGCTGTATTGGAGGAAAGCCGGCCACGAGCAGACGCACGCCGGGACAGTCTGCCCTCCTGACAGCAGGCTCCCTCCCGTGCCACACTGCTGTGGGGGGCTACGGGAGCACAGCACTCCCGGCACGGTGAGAGCACAGCACCGGAAGGTCGAGGCTAGCACCGATTTAGAGGCCCGGCTGTCCGAGCACGGAAAGGGCTCTCCCGGT